ATGCCCTGAACAGTGGGTCCTACGGAGTGTTTACCAACCTCTCTCTCTCAAACAGTAAGCCCTAATTTGTGGGGTTCCCCCCAACTTTCCTGTTATAAATATGCCAACCAGGTCTAATTTCAAGGAGCCAAGTTAATGCAACTTTTTACTGAGTTAGGAAGAGATCACGCACTCAGTGTTTGTGTGAGCTGCTACGATTGACTCTGGCAATCACTTAATCTCTCTAGTCCATTGGGGATTACTGTATTTTTCTGCTTCTTCCTCTTCTTTGCTCTCGATATACAAAAGATATGCACACACACGCACACACATAAATACAGGAACAGACGGTCTATTTTATTCACTGCCGTCAAAGCCTGCTGGTCCCTGGGGAGTCTGACTCTGCTGGCACACAGCTGCTGGTGACATCCTAGCCCACCACACGGACTCGTGGGTCACCTCCCCTCCCTGCTTCCTGCTGAGGATGAAGAAAAGCAAATTTTGACAAAGAGGAGAAGTACAAAGCTGTTTGCACTTCTGCAATTTCGCAAAGACACATATTCAAAAATTAAGTTTTACGACTAACTTCCCCCTCTTTTTTTTTTTTTTTTTTTTTCACCCTCTCGGGAATCAAGAACTCCTTCAGTGAATGCTAAGAGCGGCAAAACCACCGACTTGTCATGCACTGCAGTGATGTCAAGTGTGAAAGGCCACAGCTTCCTGAAGGTGCCTTGGGCAGAGGGGTCATGCGAAGAAATAGCTAGAGTATGGCACCGATGCAAATAAAGGCACCCCATCATTTTTTTCAGAAAAATTCTGTGATCAAATCAAATCGCATTTGGGGATAGCCTTGGAGCAGATGCTTTCAAAGTTTCATTTTATTTGAAAGGGAGAGATAGAGATAGAGATAGAGATAGAGATAGAGATAGAGATAGAGATAGAGAGATAGAGATAGACATAGACATAGACATAGACATAGACATAGACATAGACATAGACCTATAATCATAGAGCTAGAGGAAGAGATTCCACTCACTGGTTCACTCTCCAAATGCCCACAAAAGCCAGGGCTAGCACAGGCCAAAGCCAGGAGCCAGGATCTCCATCTGGGTCTCCGAAGTGGATGGCAGGGACCCATCACCACTCTCACATAGGGTCACATTGTCAGCAAGCTGGATTGGAAGCAGAGCGGCCAGGGGACTTGACCAGGCGCTCCGATATGGGTGGCAGGTGTCAAACCCCAGATCCAGAGGCTTGCAAGAAGTGTTAGTAAGGCCTTGTTGGGAGCCCTGTGGCATCCACACAGCTTTCTCCACACTGCTACAGGTGGGAAGCAGCAGAGGCCTGGGGCGTTTGTGACCAGCAGGGCACTCAGGCGTCCACGCGTGGGCACCATGTCCATGGCGACGGCTGTCACTGCTTGACAAGACCTTCAGTCCTGGTCCTCACTGCCCTCCTTATCTGAAGTACCCCATTCTAGCAGCAGGAAAAGTGGGGCTTGGAGAGATGCCGAAGCGTTACCAGGGCTCCCTGCTCGTGAACACCTCGAACGCCTGTGCTCCGTGCCCTTGGGCGTCACCTCCTGAGCAGGAGGCCCAAACTCTGCCTCTCTCAGGCCTCCTGCTCCAGCGCCAGGTCCCAGCCCCTGTGCCGGCACCCTGGCTCCCTTGCACACTAACTTACATTCTCACCCGAAATGCACGACAGTGGCTATGTTGCCACATCCTTACCCACATGGGCTGTTTCAATGAATAAAATAAAATCTCTTGATCATTTTTAATAGGCAGAAGAAGTATTTTAATTGACATTCCTTTGTTTACTATTATGATGTTTTTATGTTAATGGCTGTTGCACCTATTCTGTGACCTGTTTGCATCTTCGTTTATTTTGTAAGATAATTGAGTACAGAGGGGTTTTACTGGTTTTCCCCTGACTTGTAGGACTGATTCCTATGTTAGGAGCGTCGACCCTTCGGCACCTTTGTCTTCATCTTTATTTTTGGTTGTGTGTTTATTTTTTGGTATGACATCCTTATAGTTCATGATTCCTCATATGTTAGTATCTAAGCAGGTAGGATTCTCAGCCATTACAGTGTTTTCCGTTTTGGCAGTTTGCTTAAAATGTCTCACCTGATTGACCTTCAAATAAATTTGGGATTTCCTCAATTAAGTGCCAAGAAAAAAAAATGCTTTGGGGAGTGAACAAAAGTCATATGGAAATTTTGGGTTGGCCTGTCTGTGGTCAGTCAACAATTCACCGTCTCTGCTCGCTGTTCCCACCCACACCTGCCCCTCCCCCCCCATTAAAGAGAACAAACCAACAGGACCAGCACTGTGATGTAGTAGTTAAGCCTCTGCCTGTGGCACCTGCATCCCATATGGGCACCAGTTCGAGTCCTGGCTGCTCCACTTCTGATCCAGCTCCCTGCTAATGGTCTGGGAAAGCAATGAAAGATGGCCAAGTGCTTGGGCCCCTGCACCCACTCAGGAGACCTGGAACAAGCTCCTGGCTCCTGGCTCCGGATCGGCACAGCTACGGCTGTTTTGCCACTTGGAGTGTGAACCAGCAGATGAAAACCCTCTTTCTGTCTCACCTTCTCTGTATCACTGCCTTTCAAATACATAAATAAATCTAAAAAAAAAAAAAAGAATAAACCGATGAGTGTGACAGGGACAAAGGGACTCCCCAAATAGCTTAGCAGGCCTCACAGAATGGCACTAAGGACTTCTTAAAGGACAGTTGTGCTGGCGCCGCGGCTCACTAGGCTAATCCTCTACCTGAGGTGCCAGCACCCCGGGTTCTAGTCCTGGTTGGGGCGCAGGATTCTGTCCCGGTTGCTCCTCTTCCAGACCAGCTCTCTGCTGTGGCCAGGGAGTGCAGTGGAGGATGGCCCGAGTCCTTGGGCCCTGCACCCCATGGGAGACCAGGAGAAGCACCTGGATCCTGGCTTCGGATCAGCGCGGTGCGCTGGCCACAGCAGCCACTGGGGAGTGAACCAACAGAAAAAAAGGAAGACCTTTCTCTCTGTCTCTGTCACTGTCCAATCTGCCTGTCAAAAAAAAAAAAAAAAAAAAAAAAAAAGAAAGAAAGAAAAAGGACAGTTGTAGTCCAGACTCCCTATCATGTACCATCCATCACACTTAGCACGCAGTCAAAAGTAATTTACATGAAAAAGCTGAACAATGTTATCCATACTTTTTAGAAAGTAGTAAGTAGAACAGACTGGGAGGCTGGAGTTAAAGAAGGACTTTCAATCAAGTCCTATAATCAAGGACTTAAAGAATTAAATGGCAGTGATTCAACAGAGGTGAACTCTCAGCAGAGAACATAGAAACTGTATAAAAAGCATCAATGGAAATTGTAGAACTGCTAAGTTTGGTATCTGAAATTGTTGATTCACTGGAGAATCTTAACAGTTGAGGCAATAAAAGAAAAGCCCACAAGCTCAAATGCAAATAACTGGAAAAACGTATGATCTTAATGTCCACAAGGAAAGGGGATTTATACAGGGAAATCTGAAACCACATTAAGGTATCTTAAAGTATAACTGGAAGATGGGGAGAGAGAACTGAGGAGGAAAAAACCTATTTGAAGAGATAAATACCTAAATTTTTCATATTGTGTAAAATCAACTTAAAAATGCAGTAAGTGGGGGCCAGCGCTGTGGCGTAGTGGGTAAAGTCGCCGCCTGCAATTCTGGCATCCCAAATGGGTGCTGGTTCGAGTCCCGGCTGCTCCACTTCAGATCTCACTCTCTGATATTGCGTGGGAAAGCAGTAAAAGATGGCCCAAGTCCTTGGGCCCCTGCACCTGCACGGGAGACCCGGAAGAAGCTCCTGGCTCCTGGCTTCGGATCGGCACAGCTCCAGCTGTCGCGGCCAACTGTAGAGTGAGCCAGCGGATGGAAGACCTCTCTGCCTCTCCTTCTCTCTGTGTGTAACTCTGACTTTCAAATAAATAAATAAACATATCTTTTTAAAAAATTCAGTAAGTCTCATGAACCCCAGGAATAAACACAAATAAAGGCAAAGGTGCTAAAAATGAAGTATAAAACAATATTGTAGGCAGCCAGAGGGAAAAAGTTACCCATCTGGTAGGGAGTAATGACGCAAGTGACTGCTAACCTGTCAGAAACAGCTGCACCGAGGCAGCAGAATGACCTCATATTGGGGGTGAAAGAAAATACTCAGCTCAGAATGATCCGATTTGTTTTTTAAAAAAGGTCTTTAAAGATGAGGGCTAGAATAAAGATATCTTCAAATAAAGGAAAATGAATACATTTTTTTTGGCAACAGGCTGATATTCAAGATATACCAAAAGAAGCTATTTGGGCTAAAGTAAGTTGACACCAGATAAAAGCTTGGGTGAATATCAAAGATTATCTTTTTTGCTACTCTTAATGTCTTTGTTCAGAATTGTCTATTTAAAACAAAAATAATAACAAGACTGTCTTATGGGAGTTTCTATAATGTAGATAAAAATAGATTAAAAAGCAGTAATATCAGCATGAGAGGAAGTTCTTACATTTATATGAAATTGTAGGATATCCCTAGAGAAACTATGAAATAATAATAATTTAAAGAGGAAAAGCAAAAAGTCAATATGTGGACTGAAGTGGAATATTAGATATGCTTTGAATAACCAAAAGAAGTCAAGGAAAGAGAGAAAATAAAATACAAATAATATAAATAGAAAACAAATTACAAGGTAGTATATATATAACCATTAACACCAATATTACATCAAATGTTAATGGACTAAATCATTTAATCAAAAGGCTCCAGCCTCCACCCAGGCCCAGGCTCCCAAGACACCGCATACCTCTCTGTCTTACTGAGCTGAGCATTCTACAAGAATATTTCCCATGCATCAGTGTCCCCGGGGCTCAAAGAGCTGCTTGGACTGAGCAGGACTTTAGTCACAATGGCTGGGTTGAGCTGTTTTGTTCAAGCAATGAAGGGGAAGTGGGTAGAGCCCGTGAAGGTGCATCCCGGCCACAGACTTTAACACAGCCATCAAAATCAATGCTTTTGAATAATTTATTGACTTAGGAAGGTGATCAACAACACGCTAATTAACAACAACACAACTATGAGTACAATGGAGGTCCATCTTTGTTACAACTATAAATATGCACAGGAGAAAAACAGACTCAAAGAGGACACATGCAGTAATGGACGGCGCCTGTAGGTGGAGGGATTGTGGACGATGCTGGTCACTGAGATGTTTTGCTTTGTGCTTTAAAGCTTTGTTAGAAACAATTGGTGTTGCTGGAAAAATTATTTTTAAAGACATACATGTGTGAGGGAAGGAGAAACAAAGATGGGATAAAGAAAGGTCAAAGTCCTTGGGGAAAACAGCGACCTGAAAGTAAGGGTCCTCTCCACCTCGATGCCAAGATAGACAGCTCCCCCACTCCTGCAAGAACAGGTGTGTTCCTATAGACGGTCCCCCCCACCCCAACCCCAACCACCACCAGCCTGTGTAGCAGGCCACAGCTGGCTGACAGGGTCAAGGGAGCAGAGATCTGATCTTAAAAATGACAGGTTCCTCCCCTCCACAGCTATCTCAAGAGGCACAGCAGGTTATTTGGATGGTGTGTATCAGTCTACTACCTACACTGATTTCAGGGGATATAAAAATTCTCCCCAGGTGTTCAGTTCCACTGCCAAAAGCAGTTCCATGCTACTATTTCCCACTACCCGTCAACTTCTTCCATACTAAGCCCTAAGCTCTCAGGGTTTCCAAGAGTCAAACAGTTGGGGTGAAGTGAGGGTGGGAGGAGACAGTTGTGGGCTACTGATCGGCCCCAGGACCCAGAGCAGCGTCAACTGCAGAAATCACTATTTCAAGTTCAAGAGTGGTGGAGGCAGGGGATGGGAACAGGAGCTGCAGTGGCTTGGTTCACAAACGCCGACGCTCACCAATCGGAATCCCTGTGTGGGGCCAAGCCCTTTTGTCCCAGTCTCTGGGATGTGCTGCTTTGCTCACTCATCTCCTTGCCACCAGCAAGAAGTTCACGGAAAAGCTGAAGCCCCAAAGGCGATTCCACTGAGGACACGTTGAAGCCCCTTTGGCCGCAGAGGGCTGGGGTTATATCCCAGGCCAGGCCTCAGGATCCACTGGGAGAGCCCTGCTGTCTCCTCCCTCTGCCCATCATAGCACGCCTGGCAGCTCATGGGTGCTGGGGCCTGGATCTGCCTCCAGGGGTCCGAGTCAGAACCCAGCAGAGAGCTCGTGCTCCGCTGTGGAGGGAGATACGGAGCTGGCCCTCTCCAGCCTCTCCGTGGAGAGGAAGGGGAGCCATTTAGCCAGGTACGTGTGGAAGAGCTGGCGCAGGTACTTCTGGAACCTCTCCCCAACAAAGACGTAGATCACGGGGTTGACGCAGCAGTGAGTGTAGGCGATCACCTCCGTCACTTGTATGGCCAGGTCCAGCTGCTTGCTCTGCTCACACTGATTGGTGAACAGGGAGTCTTGGAAAGCGGAGACCAACAGCGTCAGGTTATAGGGGGTCCAAAACAGAAAGAAGATGAGCATGATGACAAAAATCAGCCGCACGGCCCTGGACTTCTTCTCATTCGGTCGTCTGAGCAGGATCTGGATAATTCCCGTGTAGCAGACGACCATGACCAGCAGGGGCAGAACAAGCCCTAGGATGTTCAGTTTCAGAGCCTGGAACTGCTTCCACTGTCTCAGGCTCTCGTGAGGGAAGTGAAGGCTGCAGGTGTAATGAGTGAACTCCCACTGCGTCTTGGAAAAGCGGAAGCCCGGGATGGCAGCCAGGATGGTGAGGGCCCAGGTGACGATGCTGGTGACGATGCCGAAGCTGACTGTCCGGGCACGCAGGGCGAACACGGCGTGCACGATGGCCAGGTACCTGTCGATGGTGAGCAGGATGATGAAGAAGACCTCGCTGTACAAGCCGACGTAATACAGCCCGGAGAGGAACTTGCACAGGACATCGCCGAAGACCCAGTCATCCTTTAGCCGGTAGTCGATCCAGAAGGGCAGCGTGAAGAGGAAGAGGAGGTCGGAAATGGCCAGGTTGAGGAGGTAGATGCTGGTCATGCTCCGCAGCCTCTTGTATTTCATGAGGACCAAGACCACCAGGACGTTGCCGACCAGGCCAATGACAAACACCAGGGAGTACAAAGGGGGCAGCAGTTGGGCCCCAAAGGCCCTCACAGCCACCTTCTGGCACGGGGTCGTGTCCTCATAGTCATACTCTGTGGTCGTATCATAGTCCGTGGTGGTGGCTGATGTCTCCATCCTGGCCTCTCCTATGAGCAAAGGAAAACAGTGTCTGTGTTTACTTTGCTGGTAAAGGCAGTGGGTTCTCGGGGCTGCCGCCTGCAGTGCCGGCATCCCATATTGGCGCCTGTTTGAGTCCTGACTGCTCCTCTTCTGATCCAGCTGTCTGCTAATGGCCTGGGAAGACAGTAGATGGCCCAACTCCTTGGGTCCCTGCACCAGTGTGGGAGACCCGGAGGAAGCTCCTGGCTTTGGATTAGCCCAGCTCCGGCTTCCGGCTGTTGTGGCCATTTGGGGAGTGAACCAGCAGATGGAAGACCCCTCTCCCTCTCTCTCTTTCTCCCTCTCTGTAACTCTGCCTTTCAAATAAATCTCTTTTTTTTTTAAACACAGGTTACATCTTGTCAACCCCTTGACAAAGTTGAGTGCCTACTGTGTGCCAGGCCCTGGAGATGGAGTGGTGAGCGAGGGACACCCAGGTCCTCTCAGTCCTCATGGAAGCTACAGCTTAACAGGAGGGGCCACGATAAACAACTGAGTGTACACATCATTCAGTCACTGGGGCACTGGTGTTGTTCAGGGGGTGGGAGAGCCAGACAGGGTAGACCTTACCCAGCAATTCATAACCAAAAACCTCCCCATGGCCAGGTCTCTTAGTGCTAATGGAGGGTGCATGACTGTTCCCATTTTAGAGGTAGTTCCACAGAGGTCTGGAGATGGTAGGAAATGCTCCTGAAGACACACACATGATGAGAGCAAGGGCTGGAGCTCAAACCTAGGTATGCCCAGCCCTGAAACCACTCTGCTTTCCTGCTCCTAATCACAGGGCCATGGCTTTGCCCTGCGGAGCCCACAGGAGGTCTCCAGGAAGGAAAACAGTCCTGGCTGAGGAAGAACCCCCTACTACAGCCAGACCTCCATAGCTTTTAGGTTGAAAAAGGTCGCAGCCAGGGCAGACCCTGGGAGCACTGGAAAGTGTGTGGACATTTGGGGTGCAGCTGTCACAAGATCTGGGCCGAGGATGTCCCACGATGCAGAAATGAGTCTACCCAAGGCGAGCTGGGCCGCCACAGGGAGATCCTCAGAGGCCAACCCCATCCCTTGGTCAATGGGAACCTGGAAGGCACTGGAATGAATGGGCTCAGCCCGGCCCACTCCTCCAGGCACAGATCGGTCTCCAGGTGGCTTTGCAGACCTCCCGGGAGAACCCAAAGACTTCAGAGGGAAGCGTGGGCCAGAAGAGCGGTGACTTGGTGAGAAAGAGAAACCTGGAGCTCAGGGGAGGGAGGACTCAGAACAGCCCTGAGCAGTGCTGTCTCATGGTCACCAGAGGAAAGCTACATTTCTCCGAAAGAAGCTCTTGGGTATTTTTACCCAGAACTGCCTGGAAACAAAACCAAAACCAAAGAGAACCACTGACACATTGCGATGTAGTGCAGCTTTGGAATCCGTTCCAATGGCCTCCTAAGATGCCTCTCCCAAAGCAGGCATGGGCGTTGCTGTAGCCCAGCAGCTGTGTGAGCTCCTACACTGGGCCTCCATCCCTCCTCTGCTGTGAGGTTCCCTGTGAGAACAGCGCTCCCCCTACCCGCACCCTGGCACTCATTGGGCCCTGAGTGAGTGTTAAGGGGCCTCCTCCTCCACAGTGGCCTGTCTCTGAGGCCTGGCATCGCCAGCATGTTCTAGACTACAATTCTACCCTAGTGACTGTCCCCATCCACCCCTGCACTGCCCCTGCTAGGTCTCCTTACAGATCATCTAGACCTGGTGACAATGACAACCCCTTCTTGTGAATGACAGTTTGAACTGTTGGTCACAAGTTGACCTCCCGGAAGTAGAGCGTATAGGGCTGGTTAGCAGAGCCTGGGGAGGGCGTGGGGGAAGGGAGGATGGAGAGAGGCTGTGGGCAGGTGCAGAGGTGCAGCTGGCTAGAATAACTTGCAGTGCCATTTAGCACAGTAGGATAAGGATTGACAAGAATTAATGGAATATATCAAAAACCTAGTAGGGAAGATTTTGAATGCTCCTAACACAAAGTAACAGTTGTTACATCTGAGGTGATAGAAATCTGACCATTACACCTGTATTGGAATGTCACACTGACCTTATAAATATGTAAGTTATTTTGTGTCAATTAAAATACATTTAAAATAAATAAAAAGATAACTTCAATGGAGTTTTTTGGTAGGTTGTTACCCACCTGAATTGATTTGACCCAAATACCAACCAGTAAGGGAGGTGGCGCCTGCTTCCTAATTCCTGTCTTGAGCCTGAGTCTCTGCTGCTCCTCCTTCTACTTTCTGAACTAGCAAATGCTCACAGCTCACAACGTTCACATTTCTCCAAGTCTGGGAAATTGAGGCCCATGGGAGGGGTTGGGCACCCTGGCTGGGAGGGGAGATGTTCTGGCTGGGTGGGAAGTGCAGGGGGCTCTCACTGTCCGCCAACTCCATCCCTGCGACTCGCTCCTCCATCTCCGGGACTGGCCGCGGCCCCATCAGCCTCTGTGTGGAGAAGCTGCGAGGACGGGCCGCTCAGATCAGCGGTCAGCGCTTCTCGGTCAGCGCACAGCGAGGGAAACACAAAATGCAGCAGGCGCAAAGGCAGCCTCATGGACCCAGAATGATGGCCGCGGTGCAGGCGGGTGGAATCCACGTTGCCAGGGGTGCCGCTCTGAACGTCTCCTCTGTAGTGTCTCAGCTCCCGCTCCGTCTGCTATTTGCAGAACTTGTCAGGCGTCATGCCATGAATGTCTCCAGGCTAAGTTGCTCCTAAAGGGAGACGCCCCGGTGTGGAGCCTTGGGAGAAAAATCGAGGGGCCATGCTGCCAACTGATCTGCCAGCTCTGCTGTCGTCTACTGTGGAGGTCTGCCCCAAGGTCATCGCACAGTGGTCGGCAGTAGCCCCGGAGCCTGGCAGCACTAGTGTCTGTCTTCCAGGCAGGGTCTCGGGGCAGCCTGTGATGGCAGAAGACCATGGCCAGTGGTATGCTGGCTGGCTGGATGGATGGGAAGAGCCAGTTGTGTGCGTTTCTACCCTGTTGCCCATTCATCACGTTGCTAGCTTGAAATTGAATGCAGCGGAAGAATCTATACTACGGACATGGGCCAACGTTGCAAACCAGGGATCTTTTCTCAGGCTAGTCCGTTGTCACTCATTTACCAGCACGTCCCTGCCCAGGCCCCACAGCCCGAGTGCCCAGAGCTGTACTGCTACTTGGTATTGGAACAAAAGGGTCTATGAATGGCACCTAGCCTGGTGGCAAACTTCTACAAAGTTTCCAGTTCTTCTTCAAAAACCTGCACCCTCTGACACTCCCAGAGGAGGAGCTGCTGTGGGAAATATCTACAAGCGGCTGCCATGCCCGCGCGGCCCCTCCCCACCTTCATAACACAAGTCTGCCCTACGTCTTTGTTTTCATGGAGCAGAGCGGATGCACTGGCTCGCTGCCTGGGACACCTACCTCCTCTAAAGACCACAGAAGTTCTGATGACGAGGATCCCTGATTCTAACCTCCCTCGCTGGTTCAGTATCAAATCATCCCAGCATCTGCCATGCCTTTTCTTATCACTGTTTCTGTCTTGACACAATTACTTTGTATGCCACACTTGGTCATTTGCCAAATAATTTCCACTTAAATAACTTGCATCAAAAGTGCCTCTTGTCTCTTCATATTGATGCTCATAATCAGTCAACAACAATCATTCAAGAGAACGTCCTGTTTAGCAAAAAACCACTTTACATCTGAGCCCCAGCCTTCCAAATGCACCCATTCTCCATATTGCTAGACAATCAAATGGCCTTGCAGGTGCATCAGTGGGCTCCTTAGACATTTGCCTGATCCCCAAAGAATTTCCTCTCCCCTTTTAGGACCTCCCAACTGATTGCCTGTCGTTAAACCAGATGGCCCTCAACAGTAAACAAGACAGAAAAGACAAGTGTCACTTACTCTGGTTCCAAGGGATTTTGTCCACAAAGTCTTTGTTTCCGGGGCTTTTTAGAGTCTTTAGGCATTCAGAGTTCAAGGTCCTGACCCAGTAGGAAATATTCAGCTTCCTGTGTGGTAGTGGAGATTGACTCCGGCTTTATAGTCTTTCAGAAAGACAAGAAGAGACAAAGTTCTTCTTTTTGTAGGGTTGGGTGCCCATGAATGGCCACAACGCCCACCAGTGGCCAGTTCCTGGAGGGCAAGTTCACGGCAAGGTTTTCTCTGCTCACTCTGCTTCGAGTACTTCGAGTGTTCTCCCTAGGGGCTCTGCCTTAAGGGAATCGGGGAGGGTGGGGCTGGGTGGAGTTGAGTGGGGTGAGGTGAGTGAGGGTGAGTGTTCCCAGCACTTGTGGAGCAATTGAAGGCCAGCCTGCGTCTGTGCGGGGTGGAGGCAGGGCATTTCTTGTGGTCAGTGAGTAGCTTTTTTTTTTAAGATTGCAGATGAAGCATTCTAAAGCAGAACCCTGAGTTTTGTTCCTCAAAACTGTGGGACTGACCGTGGCCTGAGCAAGGCGGTAGCTTCACGTTGCTGTCCTCTACCTCTGCCAGCTCCAGCTGTTCACTGCTCTTGCCTCTGCTCCCCAGCCCCCTACAGGATGGTTTCCCCACCAGGAACCACCAGCACGAGTGGAACACGGGACTATGCGGTGGGTTTCGGCCTTTCAGTCTCATCCCCTGCTCCTATTTTATGCAATGGTCAAACATGAGCCAAGTTCAAATCTCAGATCTCTACTATAGCACAGGCGGATCATCCTACCACTCTGAGTCTTGGTTCTCACGCTGTCAAAGGAGAACACTGAACCTTTGGCGTCAGAGCAGGAGTAGGGAGCCAACTTGTGAAAAAGCTCGGCTGCCTGGCACAAGGAAAGTTACCCAATAAGTGACGCTGACCGTGACTCTCCCCACCTACTCTGCCCCGGGACTGTGTCCGCTGTCAGCTGGGGACACTCCTAACCTCCCTCACAGGGTCACAGAACTCACAATGGAAATATGCTTTGCAGATCTCACTCGTCCCTTCCCTTCATGGCTTGGTTTGCTCACCTGCAAAATGAAGATTTTGGACCAGGTCGCTCAGTAGGCAACTGCTGTCCCCAAATAAGTAAGTGGGGAGATGACATGGACCTGGCTACTTTGCTGGAAGATCAGTTTCCAGAGAGCAGAGGCTGTGGGACCTGCCAATTCCTTGGCATGTCTCAGGGGGAGACATGGTCAGCATCTCTAATTCTTGACCAGCCTTCCAGCTGCGCCCTGGGTTTCTGTGGTACCCACATTGCAGAGCGCACCTGCCAAGCAATAGACTTGTTCTGCTAACAAACATCTGTTGAACATGCACCATGTGGTAGGCAGTATAATAGGCACTAGGGATATAGCACTGACCCAAAGAGGCAGACACCATTCTGGGAGAGCTCACAGCTTTGCAAGGCTTGTACGCAATTCAGCAGGCACCACCATAAGGAACAATTTTTATAGTGGTCTGGGAAGGACACTGGGCCAAAGGAAGGTGCACCTGGGGTGGGCGGGTGCGCTCTGGAGTGCTAGAGTACTCGCAGAGCAGTGGTTTTCAAAGGGGTTCCCACCTCAGCAACATCAGCTTTGCCAGGTGCTGCCAGTGATGCCAATTCCTGGGTCCATCCCAGACCTGCCAACTCAAATTCCAGCGATGAGGCCTAATAACCCTTGTTTCAACAAGACCCAAGCATGCTTATGTTGGGGAAACAGATTGAGCTTTTCTCTGGACCTTTGACCAAATCCCAGGTGATCTTTGTCCGAGAGAAGGGAGTTGGACCAGATGTGAGCTAGGAAGACTTGTTGAGCTTGAGCCCTCAACAGGAGGCTACTGAGGCAGCTCTTCTGTCTCTCCTCCCTAAACCCAGACTCAGGGGGAGGCAACCCCCAGGCACGCACACACAAATGCACACACATGCAGACACACTCCTCCACCTTAACACAGCTCGTGTGCACAGTGGAAAGGGAACAGAGAGACGAGAGAGAAACCGTTCATTTCTCCTATGATCCCTCGGCTCCCATCACCAAACGAATCAAGGGTTCACTCAAAGCTGCCATTTTGTCCTTGACCCAGACAGTGGCTCTCTTCCTTGGAGAGGAGGGGATGATGTGGGAAGTTCTGATTGCCCCCAAGAAGCTGCAATGGAAACCTCACACTTGGCTGGGCCCTGTCCTGGGACAGCCTCCCACCTCTGCCCTGGTGTCAATGCCAGGAGATCCTGCCAGAGACCGCCTTCAACACCTGCAGAGTCCATTGTCCCTGGCTGTCGTTTGGACCAACCTCATCCACATCAACAGCAGAACTTCGCCTTCTGGCCATGAATTCTCCCCAAATCAACAAAGTCAGGGATTTTGGGGGCAGTGGTTATTGGGAAAGAATTTTTTTTAATTTTACTGTTTAATTAACTTATTTGAAAGACACAGACACAGAGACAGAAATTGAGAGAAATATCCTAACTGTGGATTCACTCCTCAGATGCCTGCAACAGCTGGGGCTGGGCCAGGATGAAGCCAGGAGCTTGGAACTCAATCCGAGTCTCCCAGATGGGCGGCAGGGACCCAGCTGCTAGAGCCATCAGCACTGCCTCTCAAGGAGCACATCGGTAGGAAGCCGCAATCAGGAGAGGAGCAGGGACTTGACTCTTGGCACTCCAATGTGGGATGCGCCTGTCCCAAGCAGTGGCTTAGCCACTGGACCAAAAGCCCATCCCAGAAAACTATTAATCAAGCCAGGCAAGTAAAAGTCTCCAGCCCGTCACTCTACAAGGGCGAGCAAGGTGTGAGGCCGAGAAGGGGAGGATCCCAGAGTGGGAAGCAGGTAGCCTGCGAGAAAGCTGCTTCTGCGTGCCTCATGTCAAGATCCCCGGGGATCCTGCCACCTGCACCCCAACCCAGACATTCTGATTTGCTTGGTCTGGGGTGCAGCCTAGAACTTTCATATGCAAAAAGCTTTGAGGAAGTAAAACCACCGGCCCAGAGCAGTGGTTCTCAAACTTGAGTATGCTCCAAGTCTACAGAGGGCATTTACGACACAGACCTCTGGGACTCGTCTCCCAAGATTTGTACTGAGGACGAGACCTAAGGATTTGCGTTTCTAGTAAGGTTTGAGAACACTGATCTACAGGATTCCCTGAGATGTCATTCATTTCCTTTTTTAAGTTCACAAAACCCAAAGTGAAAAGTTAAGCCCACTTATCCCTAGCCCTATTCCCAGTTTCCCTCTCAACAAACAAAAACAGGTAGCTGACTCTTGTGTCTCTTTAAAAACACACACACAATTTTCTAAACACAAATGAGCACATTTGAGAAAAATCACCTTCCACATTGCTTTCATAAAAGTGTTGGCCTCATTTGAAAAAACCCTCTTTGTGCTGTTTATCTGAGAGGCCGAGAGCTCTCTTCCGCTGGTCCACTCCTCAAACTCCTCAAACAGCTGGGGCTGAGCCATGTGGAAGCTGGGAGTAGGGGATTCACTCTCTCCAGTCTCTTGCGTGGTGGCAGGGCCTCCACTACTGAACCTATCACCTACCAGCCCCCGGGGTGAGCATTAGCAGGAAACTGGAGGCTGGGGCAGGGGCAGGGGCAGGGGCAGGGGCAGGGGCAGGGGCTGGGGCTGGGCCCCAGGAACTCCAATATGGGATAGGAGCACCCTAACCAGCGTCTTGACTGTAGGATAAACGCCCACTCTCCATTGCTTTTGACACTGGATGTTACACCCAAGAGATTTTTCTCAGCCAGCACACAGGAATGGGCTTTTCGGTGCTGGCTGTAGCCTCCTGATGTAGGAATACACAGACCCCTCCTCATCTCCTCACTTCCCCTCCACTTACCCCCTCACCCCATTCCTCTTCCCTTGTCTAAGTTCCTTTCACAGCCTTTCTTTCTACCACCCCCCCTCACTCTGAATTTCTTCTATCCTCATCATCAGCTCTCTTTTCCTGCTTAACCTCTGCCTCTCCTTGCCTGTCTGCCCCCCAGGCTCTCCAACACTCCCCAGCATTCTACAGATTCCAACCTGACCCCACCAAAGGGGCTAGAACACAGCAGTTCTTGGTTCCCTGTCTCTTCTCTCCTGCTCAATCGTCCACTGTGCAGGAGGCACTTCCTCTCAGATTCCTCTCATCCTCCATGGATCATCTAAGAGGCCACTTCCTCCCTGAAGCCTGGCAAGCAACCCACACATCTCTCTCATTACTCAAAAGGAGGGTCTTAAAATCTTGACATCGGGGCGCCGGATTCTGTCCTGGTTGTTCCTCTTCCAGTCCAGCTCTCTGCTGTGGCCCAGGAAGGCAGTGGAGGATGGCCTGCGTGCTTGGGCCCTGCACCTGCATGGAAGACCAGGAGGAAGCACCTGGCTCCTGGCTTCTGGCTCTGTGGCAGCCATTTCGGGAGTGAACCAACGGAAGGAAGACCTTTCTCTCTCTCTCTCTTACTGTCTACACTCTGCCTGTCAAAAAAAAAAAAAAATCATGACATCATTTCTACAATTCTGTGTTTAGCTGCATGGTCAGAGCTGGTTGTATTCCATGTCTGGTGGTGGATGCCAAGTGTTGGCTGGGGACTCTCAGCTCACCTCTGCCACTCATGCCCCAACCGGCCAGACAGGCAACACTACACAGTGTCTCAGGCTGATGTCACTACACAGTGTCTCAGGCTGATGTCACTACACAGTGGTCTCAGGCTGATGTCACTACACAGTGGTCTCAGGCCGATGTTCCAAGAGTAGCAAGTAGAAGCTACAAAGCATCTTAGGTCATAACCTTGGAAGTCACATAATGTCACTTCAGCCTCATTCTGTTACTTGAAGCAAATCACAAAGCAAGCAGGCCAGGAAATAGAAACTACCCTTTAAGGAGGAGCTACAAGGGCACGATGGGACAGGCTTGTGTACTGGGATAGGGAGAATTTGGGGCCATACTCTGCTGTCTGCCACAGTGCAGATTGCCTCCAGTCCCGCAGTGAGGGAATTCCTTGAATTCTTTTCCTCTAATGCTCCTGTCCAGTCCTCCCCCCTCAGTGTCTCACTTCTAGGGTGGTAACTCCTGGCCATGTCACCAACATCTGTAGCTCCTCATCAGCTCCATTCCCAGCACCCCAGCCTCTGAGCACCTGCTACCTTACTGCTCCAGGAGGCAGCCATGATGGCTCAAGTAGTTAAATCCCTGTCTTCCACGTGGGAGACATAGATTGAGTTCCTTGCTCCTGACTTCAGGCCCAGCCCAGATGTTAGGGCGTTAGGAGAGTGAGACGGAAGATGCACTCTCTCGCGTGCTCTCTCTCTCCCTACCCCCACCCCTCAGATGAGTAATTATTTTTCAATCTATGGACCATCCTGACAGCCCCTCTCTTACATGCACCCTCAGCTCTTTTCCTCTTTCGCAATCTTGTCATATCCACTTAGCAAAATCCCAGTCCTGGTTAGATCCAGTCCTTCATCTACACCCACACAGTTGAAGATGCCTGGATCGTAGCTGGATCCCAGGAGCACATCCCACACTCTGTCCACCATCTCCACTGGGGATTCCACAAGACCCCTTTAGGTCCCGCCCTTTCCCCAGCTCCCACTGCGGCCCCATTCATCCTCTGTGAGGTGACTGGCAGGCCCGTCCTTCCCACGGCTCCCACAGAGCCCTGGAGGAAGGCTTGCCACAACCCTTTTGAACCTGGCACATAACCTGCTTGCAAAACCTCTCATCTCTGTCTCCCTGAAATGCA